GAGCAGAAACAAGGAACATCAGCACACCCAACACAGTCAATATTCATTATTGGTCTATTTTTATATTTTTTGTACAAATATTTTTGCATGGACTTTGTTCTGGATTGCACTTCGAGCAAACACATCTCTATGAGGCTGTCAGGTTTTATTCAAAGCCCCTCCTTGAGTCTGGTTCTGCCAGAGGTTTCTTCCTGTTAAAAGCGAGTTTTTCTTTCCCACTGTTGCCAAAGTGCTTGCTCATAGGGGGTCGCCTGATTGTTGGTGTTTGTCTGTATTACTAGGTCTTTACCTTACAGTGTTAAGTGACTTGTATTGACCATTGTTGGGATTTGGCACTATATTAAAAAATATATATATATTTTTGCTGGATAAATGATGCTATACCCAACAAGTTAAAAAGTTAGCTTCAGAGATTCTTTGTTTCATGTAGATGTGAGAAAGGTGTTGAGACTCACATACTTGCTAACATCATATCTAATCAGCCAATCACAGCCAGTGAATTTAGGCATGCAGATAATGACAGGATTATCGGCTGAAGTTCAAATCGAGCATCACCTAGGGGAAGAGATGTCATCTGAACATGGCGTTGTTGTTGGCGCCGGGTTGGCTGAAATTACTTATGTACTGGAATTTTCCCACACAACCATTTCTGGGGTTTCGCGAGAATGGATTGAAAAAGAGAAAACACCAAGTGAGCGGCAATTCTCTGGTCCAATGTCAAACTGGAACATGACAGTTCATTGTACTTAAACGGCCTTCATAGGCACCTGGTTACAATCTAATGTAGCTCATGTGGTGGAAAGAGGCAGTTGCATCATTGATGTGCAGAAAACAAATCTATGCAATAGCAAATTCAATTAGTTCGCAAGGCAAAAGTGGGTACTAGTCAAGCCTAACTTATTGTATAAAGTGTAAGGATGTTCGTCAGCATGTTCAAATCGTTTTCTAATTCCTACGCTCTGTGCTAACAAAGAGTGGCAGCAAATAATATTGTGCTGGAAAAAAATGCCGATTTCAAACACATTTGCAGTGAGGAAGGTGTTTTATGCCATTTTTAGTCGTTTTACTAGTTTTTAGTTGGGTGACTAGACTGACACCAGCTGTTCTTGAAAGTATTAACATGATTTGCTATGAAGTCTATTATGAAGCCTGATTTGATAGCTATAATAGAAGAAGTTGGAAATGCTACCTTGTGTTATATCGTGGTGGCCACTGGACTGTGGGCAGCACTTTGGAAATCCTGGTTCCAATCAATAAGCCTGACATTTATTGAGTAAGTCATCAAGCCTTTTTTTTCTGATTCCAGCTTCTGAAATGTGCAGACTTGCGGTTCAGACAACTTTGCCTGCAAGAGGTTTGAGTAGAGAAAACAAATATTAAAAATATATGCTGTCCTTTTCAACAACTTAAGGCTTCAAGGCTAAGCCGTTAATTAATCAACTGAACAAAAATCTGAAAAATGAATGAATATTCCAAATAATAATTAGTAAAGTTGTATAATTCATGACGTCCAGTGTCTGCTGGGTATTCTGCTAGCTTTATTTTTTCAAAGCTTTGCTCAAAAAGAACAATTTTGTGTCTCAGACTTTTTCCAGAGTCACCTGAAAGGTCGAGCCTTCTGTGATTAAAAGCACACAGAATAATGACAAACTCCTTTACACATAAAGCAAAAAACCAACAACTAACATTCATTACAATGTAACTCTTATAGTATCCTGTTGTATTGGTGGTTTTTTCTAGCTCATAATAAAAGAGACGGTACAATTTGCTACATTTAAAAAGGACAGAGTAACCCCGGGTAATGAGATGTACGTGAGGCCTTAAAAGCTTATTAATCAACCGTATATTTTGGTGCGACAAGCTGTCAGGTGCTCAACAGTGAAGCTAATCATTATTTTATGTTCAGAAGTTTTATTTTTTCTACAAAAAAAAAAAAAGCGAAATGTACAAACAGATGACAAATGTGCAACCCACACATTGAAACATTACATTCCTGTTCTAACACCATGCACTTTAAGATAATGAAAAACAATAAATGTGTGTGCGTAATATCAAAGAGGTCACTGATTTTCAATCTGAATGCCAAGCAGGCACCTGGCATCAGTTCAGTATTCAAGCAGCATGGGCAGTATACCCCACCCCACCCCTCATGTACTTAGTCCTTCAGATAGTCTCCGAATTGGTTTTTGTGGGACCAATGAGGATTTCCAAAACACAGCACAATTTCAAAACCCAGAGTCAGCACTGTTTTTATTACTTCCAAATCTATCACGTGGTTTTGTTTAATCATCATTCAGTATGTTTTGCAAGAATATTCCAGTTTTACAGCATCTTAGAAAAATAATTGGTTCTGTATATATAACAACAATGGTGCTAGATACATCTGAACAGCATTATGTACAATACAATTTGTTTGCCGAATGTGGTGAAAGATATCTGTAAAGGTAACGATGAGTACTGATATACTTCATATTCACTTAATGCAATGATCAAGACTTTGTATCATTTATTTATGAGATATGGTAATTATTTAATATCAATAAGCTGCAATATTTTATCTCAAACCATCCTTTTCAAACATAAAACGCCTCAACCATCCAAAATCACTAAAAACCAAACATGTAACAACTTTTATAAGGAAAGATTTGCACCCGGATATGTCATGATATCTCCTATGGAAAGAATTTGAAATCATATGGAAACCGACTTAAAAATAATCTTTTTGATGTAATGATGTTTTGATAGCTATAATATTACAGTGTGATTTTCTCAAAAGTACCTGTTAAAATCTACATTCATTCAAAATGTATCACTTGTATTTCTAGTCCAAAACCAACATCATATTTCTCATCACCTGTAATAGATTAACTTCCATGATGTAATTCCTGTTGGAGTAATACGGAACATCAACAGCTGCGTCAGTTAACAACCGACCTGGAATTTCAAAGATATGTTTCAGGTATAGTGCTGTGCAAAAGTCTCGAGTTGCCCCTCATTTCCTTTTGCTTTGCTTCCAAAGTAGTTAGAGTTTCATGCAATTTTTAAAGTGGTCTTGAGCAATAATTATCATTTGAATCTTTAAAATTTTGTCTTTGGACATTGACTGCTTTTTTTGTTGTCGTTTTTAATTTCAGACAAGTTCTTGCACGTGACCATTTTCAGACTAATGTTTTGGGGGGATTTTGCATTTTCTTTTTTGGGGGAAGGGAGGGGGGGTGTCTATCCACTTAATAATAACCTATGACTCATTCAAGCATAGGAACCTAACCCAAGGGATAAACCAGTATTGTGGCTACACATAACAGACAACTTACCACAGAACCGAAAATTGTATCTTTAGGCGCTTTGTTATTAGCATTCTGTTGCAAAAACATTTTTCCCACAATTTCTTTAAACCAAGACTATGAACAAAGGCATTCGGGAGAGAGGTTCAATAGTGAGTCTCTATAGCCATCTGTAAAACAAGGTGGCGGCTCTGTCATGGTTGTGACTGCAATTCAGCCACTATTACTGGGGGATCTTCAAAACTCATCAAAATTGATCAGATTTAGATCCACCATCCCCAAACACACCGCCAATGTAGCAAAAACATACCTGGATAGAAAAGCACACAGTGAAACACTGTCAATCATGGACTGGCGTCCCCAGAGCCCGGATCTCAACATTAATAAAGCAGTGTGGGATCAACTTGACAGAATGGAAAGAAAGGCAGCCAACATCCAAAGACGACCTTTGAATGTCTTTTAAAAAGCCTGGAGAACTATTCCTGAAGACTTACTTATGGAAGTTACAAGAAAGCTGCCTAAGAGAGTTCAGGCTGTGTTGAAGAATACTAAAAACTGATTTTTTTTTAAAGCTCCCTAGAATTATACAAACTGTTTTGTCTTATACTGCATCTCCATGTATGTTTGCATACTTCAATAAAGCACTGCAAATATCAAGAAGTTAAGGGTGGCTCAAGACTTTCTGCACAGTACTAGAAACTTTAAAGAGATTAGTACAACTCTTTAACCAAGTTTAAGGGATCTTCATAAAAATGGCACTCCTCTTAAGTTAAACTGTAACAACTGATATGGGTGTCAGGGCTTCAACTGAAATTTGATTGTTCAGTTTGTTAAGGTTGGGCTTCCGTTTTCTCTCGAGCAGATTTATTACCACACGGTCTCATGAAATGTGATAAAAAGAGACATGTCCTAAATAGCTAATGCTACAGTGGGCTTGATAAAGAAGAAGGAAAAGCATTTGTAGGTTATACAGGGCTACGACTTTATCCCTTCAGTAAATCACCTCAAGAGGGTAACACCTATCAGTGCTGATCTCCATATGTTAGTCAACAGTTGCAGTTAAAATGACCACCATTCTGCTTGAAGCATAGACACAGTAGACACCGACATGAAAAGAGAATGAGCAGCAAACCAGCTGTTTTCTTTTACAACTGTACCTATAGTAGATACATCAATGCCTGTCTGGATACAGTGGTGGTTATAGAATCTCAACCATTGCAAAGATACGTCTCAGAAAATGACAAATGGTCTCCTGTTTATGTTTTTCCAGAAGCTAATCAGCAGTCAGTGCAGCAGATTCACAGCTAGCAGGTGTCCATCACAGTGTGACTCCTTTGATGTGAGTGTTTTCCATGCACGACCCGATACGTCATTATCCTAGTTCAGATCTGTAAAAGTTCCCAAAGCTACAGCTCATCATATTTTTAGAAATGCAGGTGCCAGTGCAGTTTATCCTCAAACCTGTGTTGAACTGTAATACGATCAAATGGAAGAAAAGCCGCTGCTGCCCAGTTCTCTGCATTTCTTGGCCAGGATGTAAAAGCAAGAGGTGCATGATGTGTGGTAAGAGCCATCTGGTGAGGGTAAGGAAAGCCAGGACTGGTTGGGTGGAGAACGACAGAGGACTGAGGTGAAGAGTCAGACGCTAAGGGTCATGTTACGGAGCAGCCACTGCTGGGAACGGCTGCCATTGCAGTCTCTCAATGTGGGGACCATCTTGTCGTCCTCAGAGGGCATGTCCAAGCACTGGTTGCTATTCACATGCAGCAGAGTAAGTCGCTGGAGAGAAAAGATGAAAAAACAAAACAACAGGCAGTTACAACTGATGTAAATATATACGCATGACATTAAACAATTACAAGTTGAAGACCAACCTCCCCTGTGTTTTACAGTCATGTACTCTCAAAGATGCAGGTCATCACTGAGGGCATCAGTGTCAGCTGCCAGTGCCTCACTGCTTCAACTGTGGTCTGAAGAAAAGCTGAATCTATGCGCATCACTCAAACCAACCCTCAGATTCATTTTAACTACCAATTTCCCAAATTTCAGCTTTGTTGTACCATTGACCCAGTAAATAAACTTACGTCTGTGCCTGCACCATTTATTAAAACAATAAAAACAGAATGACAAAATAAGGAACATAAAAAAAAGGGTTACCCCTCATACAATACATCTCTCACTGTGAAACGCTGTGGAAATCGAGGCTCCTGTCGGGGGAGAAACTTGTCATTGGCACTTTAACAAAAGGATGTTTCTGTGATTGACTGAGCTTCAAAAGCATCAACCTCTCTAGAGCCAACTCCCCCCCACATTCAGTGGTAATGGGGAAAGGAGTTATTTTAATGTTAAAACCACTGCAACAAACTCGCTACAGTGTTTTCAGTTTTATCACTATGTTTAGGTTTGCAAACTCCTGTATGTTCATTGAATAGCAGGTGAAGACACATCATGAACAAGTGGATCGCATACAAAGTAAACGTAGACCTGTGCATACATTTGACCTTAACAAGGAGGTTTACTGAGGCGTTTTCTAGTCTTTAAAGCTGATTTTTGGACCATTAAAAAAGTGATTATATTCTGATTACGAATGTAAATAACACATTCTTTACACATCCCGAAATTACAAAGCAGCTTTAAAAATTAATGTAGGGTCTGTTTATACTCCGTTTTTATCTCTGTTTTGGTCTGTGCCATCAACAAAGGAAAAGATCCGGTCCTGTAGCTCCTAATTTTCACCAACCATTCATTGCAGGCCAGAAAATCAAACCAAAGAGCTGAAATGATAGCGATGTGAGGTGATAATAATGTTTGTTCCTCTGAGTGACCCTTATCACATACATGTGGTGATCTGGTCCATTCTCAGGAACAATAATAAACAGTTTTAAATATTTATTTATTCCAATTATTAAAATAACCTAGGAAAAAGAGTTTATTGTTAACACTGCAGCTCATTATATTTACTTTTTGATCAAAGTGCTACAGTATAATAGGCACCATTAGCACCAGCAGTAATACTGCTGGTGCTTGTTAGCACTGACCACATCACGATTATTTATTCAACACCATGCTTGGGATAAACTGTGTTTTTATTGTTAATGCGACACATTATAGCAGCATCTTTTTTCAGAACACATAAGTAACCAGGGATCACGAGGAGAAGAAAAAGGTTACAATGTGACATTAGTTGCAACAAATATCTCTACCCTAATGATTGTGTGTGCCTTAATAAGTACACCACAATGATCGCCTCTCAGTTGCAAATTGTGTAAAATCTGATAAAAAAATTTCCATTTTTGTTACTATGGTTGCTGTAGTTCAGGAGGTAGAGCAGATCATCTACTAATCAGAAGGCTGGTGGTTCGATATCTGGCTCCTCCAGTCTGCATGCCGAATATCCTTGGACAAGATAGTAAATCCAAGTTGCTTGTATGGATGGGTGAATTAGGCAAGTTGTATAAAGCACTTTAAGTGCTCAGTTAGAGTTGAAAAAAACCTATATAAGAACCAGTCCATGTATTAGCAGTGTGTCACAAAAAAAAAAACAAAAAAAACCACAATTTGTTGCCATTTTTCAGCTGATTCAAAGACAACACAGTTTGACAGCATTAAATGTTTTGCACCAACAAGTAGGGATGGGTATCGTTTAGGTTTTATCCGATACCGGTGCCAAACCGGTACTTTTGAAACGGTGCCAGTGCTTAAACGGTGCTCGAACCGGTGCTTAAAGAATGGAGAACACAAAATTGGTCCAAAAACCTCTCATGTTCAGCTGTTTTTTGTAAAAAGATAACAATGTTAGCCTTTTCTGCAGCTATGGGGCATATATGGTATCACTCTTGGCTGGAAGCAGTGCTTAAACAATGGAAAAAACACAAACTTTGTCCAAAAACCTCTCATGTTTAACTGTTTTCCACTTTTTCTTTGGTCATTTTAGCCTTTTTGGCCATGATGAAGGGAGTATCTGCCATCAAACAAGAAGACAGCCGCATGTAGCTATGATGATGTTTGCTAGTTCACCTTACATGCATGTCAGAGATTTACAGTTAACAAACAGTCAGGTGAATAAACAACACTGAGACACTTGATACTGATAACGTGCGGCACGGGTGAAACTCAGAGAGAGTCACACCGAGCTGCAGTATTCGTTTATTTTTATAGTAGCAGGGTGGGACAAGCATAGTAGTTTCCTTTAATTTTGCATACGTGTGTGTGGGTGTATGTGTCACTAAGTTCGTGTGTGTGCTAATCTCTTTGCTGTAAATGACACGGGGTCAGCTTCCTGTTTCTGCGAACAAAGCTGTGGGTGTTGTATCTGTGCAAAGGAGCAAGTCTTTCCTATAAGAGGAAAATATGAACATATACTTTAATGCAACATAAAACTCATAAAAGCGTTTCTTCCTTAACAATGCATTAATGTAATAACGTGGTTAGCCTACTCAACGTAAATTACACACGGACAACATGAAGCTACTCACGCAGAGAAGAACGGCTGCTGCTGCATCATCATCCTCATCATTTCTGCTACACTGGCAGGGCTAGGGGCCAGGACTCTATTCTTCGGGTTTTTGGGGGATATTGCTCCGGGTCCAATAACAGGTACCACACCCGCAGTAGATGTGCACGGTGTGAGGTCTCGCAGCAAGCTATCAAATACGGCGCATTTCTGGGCTTTTAAGAAAAACTCTATGCGTCACCAGGTGTTTCATCGGATTTGAGGTGTTACCTCCTTTGACAGTATCACAGTATCAGCTTAAAGCACTTGTTGCTGCTGAGTTTGCATCTTTTGCTGTGAAGTACAGCCATACTTTTGATCGCTTTGCCTTGGGCATTTTTAATCTGTAGCTCTGCTCTAAAAGAACGTAGGTGCCTGGACCCGCCTACTATCCTCGGAAACGTAAAATGATTGGCTAGAATCTAAAGTGTATCACAGCTCAGGAAATAAAGCACCGAAATAAAGCACCGAAATGTGCGCTGCTTTTCGGTCTGGTTACTACCGTTTATGTCAGAACCGGTGCCATCGTGGCACCGGACACGGTGCCATCCCTACCAACAAGGTGATTTGTAAAGAGTTATTAGCAGAAAACCTGGCATATTTGAGCAGGGTGCGCAGTGTGTCCTTAAAATTTTTGAGGAAACTAGACAAGTGAAGGACAAAAGAAGTGGCTACAGCAGATTCACTGTATTTGTCGTGTCCTTATAAAATAGGGGGGGGGGGGAAATCCAGCAAAGACCTGACACAGAACCAGAGAGATGTATCTGGCCATTGAACTGATCCATCTCTTGTTCACTGACACCTCATAAGAAATTGTTTGAAATTGAGGCAGAGAAAAGAAAAGGCCAAGACATGCCAAATTATATTTATAGAGTGATAAATCCAGTTTACAAAAATTTAGGTTCAAATCATCATGAACAGAGGAGTTCAGGAGAAAGGTACAACAGGGAGTGTCCACAGTTATGTATTAAACATGGCGGAGGATCGGTCATGGCTGGGGGTTCAATTCAGCCAGTGGTGCTAGGGACCTTGTCAAAAATAGATGGAATTATGGACACAGAGAAGTAAAGTCAGACTCTGACCCACCAACAACTATAAGGCATCTGATTGGCAGCAGCTTCAGTTTTCAGCGTGGACTCAAACACACTGCAATGCAGTAAAAGCACGGAACAAAAGAAGAGCTTTGACTGTCCTTCAAGAGGCCTTGAGAATTATTCCTAAAGACTACTTTAACACAGGGTGAACTGTCTTAGGCAGCTTCCATGTCATTTTTTAAAGTATAAAGTCAGTAACACCAAATATTGACTTTCAAGCTCATTGCAATTGCACAAACTCTGTTGTTGCCTTATAAACTGTATTTCTATGTATGTTTGCACATGTTTTGAGAATCACTGCACTTAGTTCCCTTTTTCCTAGCAAAATATAAAGAAATAAGAGGTTGCTCTAGACTTGCACAGCATTGTATACCAGTAAAAACACCTGTACAGAACTAATGAAGGTGTGTAACTGCAAAGCTTATCATTATAGAAGTATTTTAATAACCTTACATTTCTCACAGTGGCTTCATTACACATCACAGGCCAAATATGCCATCATCTGCTAACTAAATTGACCGTGGGACAAGTTGGATTGGGCTCTGTCTAACTGGGCTCAGGTGACAATGACTGATTAACTGGCTTTCTTCATGAAAGACATTTTAGTAAAATAATGATGAGTGAAAACCATTTACACTCTCAGGGATCTGGTACTGTGCATATTGGCTCACTGTCACTGCCATAGCTCATCAAGACACTTAAATAGAACAGGGTCCCTGTTAATGTAATTACAGTATTCCTTCTCTTGCTCCACTCCATCGCTCCTGTCTGTCCTATGTGATGCTTTTTCGTGGAAACCAGAAAGGCTAGAAAACAGGACAAACTGGACCAGACTGGAAATAACACACCTGTTGTGATGAGCTCGAACTCAAGTACCACACAAGTGGTATGTACCACAGGAGAGAATCTGTGGCTATCTGCCACACGTCACCAGAGAGAACACCCCCCACTAACAACTGTGAGAGAGCCCTCAATAGCCTTGATTAACCATTTATGTTTAAACCCTCAGTAGTAACATGCTTCCGCAATTTCATTCCTCACTTGAGTTGCTTTTCTCATCCTAATGATCACATGCAGAGGAGTAGGGAACTTGAGAGTTGGTTTGTAAAGAGAAGCAGAGCCTCTGCAGAGAAAAACAATGCCACGAGAGAAATTGGGAAAATTATGTTAGGAGCTACAAAGATGCCATGTAATATATGAAAATGTATAAGCGTATAAATGAAAACCAAAACAGAGATAGCCTCAGGTTTAGCAGTTTGCAGCTTAACACAATGTTATATTGGCATAAAAAATAAAACGCAGGTGAACAAGTAACCTAAAAATACATCATGGCATAAAAACTGGTCATTAAGCATGATTTGGGGTTTTTTTAAATTCTGCAATCGAGGCATAATTCTTCATTAAAACAAGATTGTGCTTTGACAGTTAACAGAGGATATTCAGACTAATGAGCTCACGGAGACGCTCAGGCCATGTTTGATCTCAAGCTATAAAACACAAGGGCCCAACACTATCTGCCTGGATACAAAGAAGTGCATGCAAACACAGCCACACACACACACACCTTTCCTGAAGTACACATTGCAGACTGCCCTACAGGGCACACTTGTTCAAACAGAGTGAGAACAAAGAGAGCAGGTGGCACACAACCTCACACACCTGTCTAAAAACAAAGGAAAAGAACAGTAAGCTTGTGCTACACTATACTTTAATTTAAAAAGTAGTTCTTTAATAGTAGTTGTAACTTCATAGCAAAGTTCTCCCTAAACTATTGAGAAGAAGAATAAAAAAAAGCAAAGATCAAAAATTTTTTCCTAATCCAGACTGAATGAATACTACATTTTTGAGCCATGCGCAGGGCATAATCATTTACAAAGCCTTTCTAAACAGCCTTAAATCATAAAGATACTATTTTTCCTTTCATTCAAAATCTAAATTTACTCCAGGGGAACATGTGGCACAAGAAAAGTATGATTTGAAAAAGAAAAAAGTTCCATGTTCAATGAAATTACTCGAAATATGGAGGCCCTGTCCTTTGCTCATTATCATTTCATGCTTGCTTTGGGGCAGAGAAAACTCCCATCTTCCTCCCAGCAAACCAAGCACAGTCTCCAGAGCAAGAAACCGAGTGTGTGCACAGCTGAGACCAGCTAATTAAATGATGACCGTTTCTAACCATAACCCAGGTTGAGGAATAGCATCCTCTTTATCACCACACAGCACACTGGACTTGCTGAAAGGCAGAGAGGTTCTTGTTTTGACGTGATCTTCTGTGCTTGCTGCTGGGGATCTAGATAGAGTAGTGGCTTTTTTGTGGGAGATACAAACACAGCAGATACTTTTGTATCTCAGGGCAGATTCAGCAACAGTGTCATTTGCTTTAATGGAGCCCTTCTCTTGTGTACGTGCTCCTCTCTGCTTGCTATGCTAGGAGGACGTCTGAGAGTGAACAGCAAATCAGGCCATCTAACAGCAGGTCACTATACTGCCACAACTCTGACACACACCAGCAGTCCCGGGAGCTCCTTACCCAATTTGCCCTGCTTGGACACAGAAACTGTGGCATGCTACAGTGAAATTGCTCTTTAGCGTTTTGAGAGATACAACAGTACAGGATTCTGAGGTGTTCACTCCAAATTACTCAACAGAACAGAATTGGCTACAGAGAGAATGACTGACAGACACAAAGCCTGGAAAAGGCAGGAAAATAACAACTCCGAAATGGACAGAAATGCTGAGCTGAAGAACATTCCTTACAAAAGTATGTAAATAAGAAGGCTTAGTGGTGAAAAAACACTGATAATGGGCGTTTTACAATGTACATGGAACACTGTGTACACAGCTGCTTTTGGCCAATAAGAGAGTGGCCTGAGCAACTACAGCCATGAAAGATAGGTTCACAATGAAGGATCACTTCAAAAGAACTTGTAAACAATGGCGAGCCCATTTGAATAAGCTCCGCATGCAGATAATCAGCTAAAAATAAGCACGTCCTCCATCTCGGCCATCATTCATCATGTGCAGGCAGTCCAGGGGACAGCCAGTGAATTTTCACATCAAAATATAATATTTATTTTGGAAAATAAATGTCAATTGAGATGTAATTTAGCAAAAAGATTAGCTAAAGGTCTTCCAGATAGCATCTTATACAGAGAAGCATCTTGACAGGACATCTGTCATTGTGTAATGAAGCTCTTCCCATGTCTCTGTGCACTCCCCCCTTGAAAGGTCACCAATAACAAAAAAGTGTTAATGCTTCCTAAAACACATGCACATTCAGGCGTACACCTGGAAGAACCACAAGTCTACTCTCACTGACAAAAATCAGAAAATCAAACATACTCTCAAAACAGCCAAAGTTGCCTATTACAGCCCAAACAGGTCTAGTGAATTCTAACAGTGTGAAACTACGTTGCTACAGAGCAACTATGATGACCACCAACCTCTATTCTACACCTAACTTGTGCTAATCTGCTCACCTCACGCCCCCCGTAGCCCCCGAGAGCAGACTTGAGTTTAGAGAAAATAATCCGTGGGACTGAAGTAGAGGTGTCTAGCGACCTCCAGACGAGTGTAGTTGTGGAGGATCCACGACTGTATTGGACTGTTGTTACAGTACTCCACAGTGGGGCCATAGGTGCCGTCCTCCAGACGGCCGATGGTCAGACATGATTGGGTGATGATGTGGAGGAAGGTGTGCTTCTGCAGTGAGCCAGGAGGGAAAAGGGACAGATGGTTTTCAAGGTAAGTCACAGAGTCATAAAGTAATTCTTAAACTGATGCGTCTGTTCTTCGCAGTAAACTTTCCCAGACACTGACTAAATGTCTGACTTATTTGGTCCATTTCTTGTTTTATTTAGTTATTAGATGGACCATATCTTCATAAGCGATATGGGTCATGTTTCAAATTATTCATGTGACTATTGGCTCAGTCACCCACGAAAAAAGGTAACAGGATGGCAACCTCCTTGCATCAAATCAGTAGCAACAATCACTTGTAGGCAGATCTCATTGATGCAGACAGATTGGCAACACATTAAAATCTGTCTGCATTTATGAATCTGAGTGTGTTTGCACCAATAAGCGCTTGCCCATTGAAAGTTTCCTGGTTAAATTCCTATATAAAAGCAAGCAGAGTGCCTATGTCATTCTTTAGTTAAACTGCCATCCTGCAGCAATTACATCACAGTTTAATGTTTAATATAAAGGTGCCATATTCTGCTGATTTATCACAGTGAATCCCTCTGTTCTCACAGATTGCATGTAACTGCCAACTTGACCCCATTCAATGGCAGACTGTTGACAGTCTGATAGGAGACCCACTTATTTTTAATAGACATCTTGATGCACAAAGTGGCTTTGGGGTCAGCAACTGACTGCAAGTAGTTGCAGGCCTGGTTGCTGTCTCCAAAGCAACCACTTGAAAGTCTAGGAGGTTGGTTTCAAACCCCTGAGAAAATGACCACATCAACAATTTGAACATATTCTTACAATGAGGCAGACGATATTTGCCAAAATTAGCACAATGCAAATAATTTTGGGGGGCAATTTATAAAACGAGATGGACAATTTAAAAAAAAAAAAAAAGTTAGATGACATGTTTTTACTAAATATCTATGTTCTAATTCGTGGCAGGGCGTGGTCGGCAGGGAAAGCGGACCCAGCTGCGCGGCATCGCAATCACGCCTCGCCAACTTAAGATCGGTGTAGAGTCCTGTTGTGGTGTTGCTGTTGTTGTTGGTATGTGGCTGGCAGCTGGGAAGCTGAGCCGACTTGTGTGAGCTTCAAGCATAATAAAGAGAATGTCCAACAGTGGTGAAACGCGGTCATGTCATGCCCCTTACCTGCAGGAATTTGAGTTTATCTATTTGGTTCTCCTATTTTACTCCCTGATACAGCCTGTGGCTTAGTGTGCCTCACTTGTAAATAGCTATTCAATCAATATGCCAATCCATGCCTCAAACTCTTTATCTCCAATAAACTCATTACTTGCATTTTGCTACAATAGTTCAAGTGTGAATTAAATAACGATTAGCTCAAATATTTTAAGTCTTAAAAAAATAAAGAACATTTTGGGTTTCTTTAGCCAGAAAACTGGCTGAAAAAAAAAAAAAGTTTAAAAACTACATTAATTAGACTCTACTAAAGCTAAAACACAACTTGACAAGCACAGCAAAGTTAAAAAGTACAGATAAATTGGTGAAAACTTCAGCGCACTTAGAAATTTTGGCTATCATGTGTTTGAGTGGGATATCCATGCGAGGGAAAGCACAGCAAATAGAACTTATTGCTGGCTGAAGCAGCAGAGTAGGTGAACAGGAAAGTGGATGTCGGTCACAACTGTAAATGAATACAGGAGGAATATGGAGAAGCCAGGTATTTCTGTGAAAGTGAAACTGATGACCAGATGAAATGTTAATGGTACTGTAGTCATCCAGGATTCAGTCCCTGTCAGTCACACCTGGGCTAAAAATAACACCGGCTACTGACAGTGATGAAACCCCAGAGCTGTTTACAACAGAGACCGGTCCTCTTCGTTATGAATTATTCATTTTATTCTCTTTTTTTCCCCCCCATTTTAAGGAAAACACACTGAGAGCAAAGTGTAATGAAAGGATTTCTCCATGGATTTGTTCAATGCTCGATGGAAAGGCCTCTGAGCTTCCTCACTTTGTCATACCGCCATGTCAGTGATAGGACATCTCAATCACTCATAGACAACTCTGCATGCGACGCTGCCTCGTCTAACCATCTCCCAGAGGATTAAAAATGCATAAATTGTTCATATAAAAATGCTTTTTGAGTTGTGTAATCCATAATGTATTTTGATGTATTCTAAGGAAACAAGGCTTGAGAAGAATATTTAGTTTTCCTATGAGATTCAAAATGTCTTTGTTTCCTGCCCACAACATCTGTTTCTTCATTTGACTGAATATCAAAAATGCAAGCTTATTACTGCTTGCATACCCAGGAATATTAGGTAAAGTGAAACCCTGGTGTTCAATATGCAGCGTCTAGCTTTGTCAATTATATTTTCTAATTCAGTGCTATTGCAAAAGGAAGACTTTGATACATACATTTAAACACATATAGAAATACCTGTAATGAGCAACACAGCTAAAAAAACAAAAAAACAAAAAAAACAAATAGACATAAGGTTATTATTTTTTCACCTCACCATTTTGCACCTAATGCATGCAATCATTTGTCTTTGATATTTGTAGGTGATACTTGTGTTTTGGTTTGTTTGCTTGATTTTGGGGTGGGGGGGGGGTTATAGGTTAGACTTCAGTTTCTCTCTGCGATGTAAATTTTTTGGTGACTTGATTGTTCTGCTGCACATACAATATATTTGTCTACAAAATATAAAAGGATAAATTGCAATGCGTGATTCCAGGTCACCGATGTAGGAAAAGGCTTCAGTACACATCCAAAAAATATATTTATATAAACGATCTACCGTACTAAACACTAACACTTCAGCGTCCACACACTCATACTCACAATACTAAATCACAATGTGGCACTTCAGGAGGGACAAATTGAACAGCTTACCTCAAAATCATATTCCCACTTGCCAACATACTACATAATGAGACGAGAAAAGAGAAACAGCTGCTGGGTTGAAATAGCAACTCAACTTCCGTGGTGCTTTAAAAAAAAAAACAACAACAACAACAGCACACAGCACCATCTTGTGGCAGAAAACAGTCATTCTAGTTTTCCCACGACCAAAGATCCTCAGTGTCCTATTGCTCATGAAATTACCTTTTGACAGGTAAAGGTACAAACGTTAAATTGAGGAACAGGGGAAAAGAATGGCCACTTGCTTTAGAACCCTTATTTTGAATTATTTGGTTCCTAAAAAGGGCCACAGATCCTACCTCAGCATCGTACTCAAACATCTGATTGCCCTTCATGTGGTGACACTTGAGCATGACAACAGGCCCGTTGAGGCGGGAGACATCCAGGCAGAGGTCATCTGTTCTGATTTCTTTATCCGCAGTGTACGAGAACACCTACAGGAAGAGGTTTTATTTAGCTCTTGAAAAATATCAGTAACATCAACATCACAAAAAATAAAACAACAGTATTGTAAGGGGTTTTAGGGATAGATGACTAAACTGTAAATATTTTTTAAACCTTAATTTTTCTTTTTGTTTTTTGTTTTTATTTACACTCCAGAGCTTTTTAAAAATTGATTGTGTACTTTATTGGGCATTTCCAGGATGTTCTACAGATATTTTTTGTACATGACTGGACAGATATTCTGTCTTGTGTGCTGCAGAAAAAAACTATAATGAGACTCGAGTATAAAGAATATTGATTGGACCAAAGTGAATTCTGGGCTAGAAATCTTTGAGTCTAATCAACACTGGGCTTCAGAAATGAGAGAGAGAGAGAAAGCATTGTATTGAAAATCTGCACATTGACTTAGAAGTTGGAGATTAACACACTCCTTGCTTCCAACCTGAAGTCAAGTTTTTGGGCAAGATAATGTACTGCTAGAAGCTGCACTTTAAAATTAAGTACACCCCATGATTTAGTAGCTTGGAGAACCATCAGCAGTAATAATTTGAAATCATCATTCTCTCGAATCACTGTGGAGAAATTGACGTTTGTTTCTGCGCAGCTCTCTTAAGCTCCTGCCATAACATTTCAGTCAAGTTGAGGTCTGATTTGACTGGACCATTGCAACACCGTGATCATTTTATTTTTCAGTCCTTCGGCTTTAACATGCTAATTGAAGCCTGGATGGTCTGAGATCTAGTTCTTGGGATTGTGCTTTAAATATCTTTAAGTATTACATGCCCTGACCTTGGAGTAAATTTGTTGGCATGTCTACTCCTGGGAACATTGTGTTAACACCTAAATGCTCCAGATCAGCAAATTATAGAGGTGCACACACCTGCTAATGATCAATTAATCAAGTATGTTTAGTTAGCAACACCTGGCTGCTACCCAAGTAGAACGCTTAAGGCTGTGCTTAGTTTCATTCAGATTTAAAGTTACATTTGCAAATTCTATTATAATATAGACAATAGTATTTCTTTTCACAATTAAGCATAATACTCTCAATACAGTATTTCCTGTTATCTCCTCACCTGGTTTCCACCCATGCCGTGGCAGTTGAAAAAGCCAACCTTCTCGTTCTCCTTTCTCCCCATGTTGTCCATACACTGGTTGGTTTCAACATTTCTGATCTATAGACAGGAAGTTCAGATTTACAAATAAGAAGTACAAGTTTATTAACTTTGTAACACTAAAGTCTTAAAGTGTTACATCATAGCATTTTACTTATGTTTCTTTTGACAACAGCTAGGCTACAGGAACAGGAAAAAACATACATTACCAGAATAATGACGTCCCATTTAATACATCAATAAAAAAAAATTCCTTTTCTAAGTCCTTGTTTTTTGTCCTCCCTCATTGTTTGAATTCTTCATCCAAGGATCTCTTGTGCAAATTGATTATCAATCACTACATCTTAAATATCGTCTTCCAAAGAAATTAATCTGTTAATATATAATTAGCAACAGCATTTTAGTTCACTCAGTTGTACTGAGTATCTTTAGGGTTTGATTAGTTTTTTAATTAACCTTTTAAACCCAAATATTTGATCCATGAGTTTTGGAAACATACATCAGTGTTTTGTTTCCTCCCAAAACAGCAAAAATAAATTGCACAATATATTTTTAAGGGTTTTGTTTTTCATTTTTTGTCAGAAGGTTTAATAATCACTCGATTTCCAAAATCTTTAATTTTCTGGCAATTATTTCATGGTTCAGGCTTTAAAGGGTTAAAAAATTTACCTATTTCTTGGCATTTGATAAAATAATCATATAAGCAAATAACAGAGAATAATGTTAGTTGCCACCCCAGGTTTGCAAATATTGCAGCATCACTACTGCTGAAACCACTTTAAATGCAAGTCACAGATTTAATGATGCTTTCTTTTTGGAAACTGGAAAAAGTTTGTCACCATCTTCCATAAATCCTATAGCTAAAATCATGTATATACCATGTCACTGAGTTAATTTAGTCCAACCTCTGCTCATTATATCCACTTTTAAAGATGAAACTGAGCTAAGTTGACTGCACACTTCTCAATAAGCAATTATCACAGCTCCTACTGACTTCCAGTCAACTCAGCTATCTAATGAACTCCTACATTCACAGAGCTGAAGCGGAGCTGACTATGTATGTTGCCTAAGCCATTACCATGCCTATCATGCAGGAACGGAATGGCATTCATAATAATTAAGTGATATAAAACCTAATGGTTCCGGCTGTTAAGGAAAGGCTGACTGTGTGTTATGGGGGATGAGAATCAGCCAGAAGTAGTCTGGTTTAGAGGAAAATGGAAGAAGAAAAAAAGGTGCTGCAGTGGCTAAAGGGAGATAGAGAAAACCAGTTTTTACTGCAGTATAGGAGAGCAGTGCAAAGGAGAGAGAAAAGTCCCCTCCTCAGCTGTATGAGTGTTAGAGGATTACAACCTCATTTCACACTCAGTTCTTAGACTGACATTACTTTTACATGACCTCCATCTATGTCCAGATAGCACGGCCCATGTTAGCACTGAGTTGACCCCCGCTTCAATGCTTCCCGCACAAAGCTATGTTCATCAAGAAGCTGATTGTGGTCACTTTAAAAAAGCAGAAGGGAAATAACTAAAAAAATCTCTCGTAAAATAAGCTGTGTCAAAACTGTAAATGAGTAGTTATCAAACCATACTACATGCTTACAATTTCTACATATTAACAACCCCATGAAAAATCTGATTTCTAAGGTAGGTACTCGGAAACAGTCTTTTTTTGTTCTTTAAAGAGCAGAATACAAAACTATCTAGAATGCATACACGAGCTTTATCTCACTGCCTCAACATGTGGGGGGGATCAATACCGACTCCTTGAACAGCCAAACGTCTGTTTATTATGCACGTTCAATACAAACTTGGTTGTTTGTTTTTTTAAGCCTTTCCTAGATCCTGATATTTTCAGGCTATATCTCACAGAGATATTGTCTTTCTGAAAGAAAATGAAAAAAATGAGGCCAGGCGCTAAAAGGATATATCTGACTGAACGCAGAAGGAGCCGGTGTATGCGATACATTATAGAAGATTAGAGTATAAGAGAGCTCATACTTCACCAAGAGAGTAGTATCTTCTTGGGATCTGGGAGTCTGGGTAGATGTTCTCTAGATACCAGGAAAACGGTTTGCACTTTAAGGCCTCACGGAGGGTTTTGCGAGAGGAGACGTCTCCGTACTCCACCCGCATCACGCCTGCAAATGAAATGTCAAGACAGGAAATGCAGCCATATGTATCAGTGAACATCATCCGTCACATTAAGAGACACATTTTCTGCTCTGAAAAATAGGATGGTTGTGTCTGTGCACCACCGAGACCCGACACCAGAGGGAACCTTTATGAAGTGAAACAAAGCGCTTTACCTGAAAATATCCCAATCATAATGTTAGCCTGCAATCCCATTTACAAACAGTGTAATGTGGAAGATGCATCTCCTTCAATAGCGCACAAGTGCAAAAGCTGTGCAATAACTGTGGGCCATGATGTAAGTCACTTTAGCCAAATGTGAACTGCCTGATGTATCAGCCTTGATGAAACTAAAGACTAAGAAAGGATTAGACAGCGACTGGGCACAGACACTTACAAACACATTAGACAGATGGTTTCTTCCTAAAGTGCCGCTTGAGGACTCGTAGCTTGAATGCAGATAGACTCAAGGTGGTAATTTAATATGAAAGAGCATGATTGCAATGAGGGAAAATAGAGGACAGCTTTCAAAAACCAGTCAACATGTAAGATGTACAGCACTGTATGAATCTATCTATCTATCTATCTATCTATCTATCTATCTATCTATCTATCTATCTATCTATCACACATAACTAAGATATTGCAAACAGCTTACCAATACCATCTCAGGCTTTAATGTGGGAAACAGAAATTTCAAGTTGGCAGATAAAAACAGTGAGCTGAAGGCTACTTTTCTCTCCCTTTCTTTTTTCTATCTGCGGGGGCTAAGCATCACATATTATAGCTCATGATGAATAGCCTCTTAGATCCAGTGCAGAGGAAGGACAAGGAAAGGGGTACACTTTTAATAGGATCACCAGATGCCACTCCCAAATTCAGCCTGAGCAACATACTGTGCTCTTCTCCACCAATAAGGGAGGTCTGGCAGCAGCACAACCCAGATCATTCTCCCTAATGTCCTGGAGGAACAGACAGTCATCGCGGGGCCACAATATACAGAGAATCATCCATCACAGCCCTGGCTCTGTCTGCACACATGCCCGTGGAGAATCCTGCCTGACTGAGAGGAAGAGAAGGTCACAATTTGTGCCGTAAGATCGAAAGATTGGGGATGATCCCTTATAGGTTGGCTGGCATCTAAAACAGTTAACCCGAGATTTCCGGGATACCGCTTCCTGCAAAAGGGTAATCACATTACTAAGTCGACAGATGGAGGGGTACTCATCTCTCAACCTGCACAGTCGTATTGTTCTAGTTTGTCCATATGTCTTTGAGCTCTGTTTGAAAGATGGCAGTTCGTGACTAATTTCTGAACCCAAGTTCAAGAGAGCACTAAAAAAAAAATGTATCTGAGAGAAGGAATTAATTAATCCCACTTTGAAGATGGCAAAGCTGCATTAAATTCAAATATAAAAGTAAAAGAAAATGTACATTTGCATAAGAATAAAAAAAAAAAAACCTTGCAAGAGAATGAAAGACTAAAATGGAAGAGACATGTCTTTCCTTTTACACCAATTTGCTAAATTAACCACACAGGGTTCCAGCAATGAGGTTTGTTCATGTCTTCCTTTGACCAGCAGTGCACACTGAAACCTTTTTTATAACATGTAAAATCAGCAGAGCTGATTTAAACTCTTGGTTTTCAGTTTTCTGCATCATTTTAGTGGCTGAGAGTAGTAGTGACATGGTGGCGGTTTCATTGCTCTGTACCTGGTGATATGATATAAAAGAAGTCTTTGAAATCATCCATCCAGACTTCGGCCAGGCGCCTGTTGTTCTTGTTGATGACTTGGCCCGTTCCTCCAGGGAAACTGTATGGGGTGGCCTTCCGGAAAACATGGCCCACATGTGAACATGTTACAATTTCCAAGGAGCCACCGCATTGCCAAATCTGCAAGCGTAGAGACAAGGCAGATTTATGTAGTATGTGACAGGAAAGCAGACAAATAGGCTGGATAAAAACTGATGAAACAGTCAGTGAATGCTTGTTCCCTTTGTTCTACCCCCTTGATGCTTAGGTGACCTACATAAATGATAACGTTTGTTACCAGTAAAAAGATTTGCTCTTAAATTTTAACAGCGTACCATCGTACCACACACACACTTACTGTAGATCTGTTTGTGACTAGATGCTGCAGCTCACAGGCATGCCTTATAACAGCACTTCATGTTTTCTGATTACTAACGACAAGCTGTGACAGGAAGACAAAAACACCTTCTATAAACTGCCCTTGTCATAGTTTCTGGTACAGTAAGTGTCCCCAGAACTAAATTTTCAATGATAGCAAATTCAGAGAGACTCATGAGGTGAAGTACGAACCACACTATCACTAACTGGTAACAATAACATATACTTTTTACAATAAACTGTACAAACATAAAGCAAAGAGACTAAATATTTTTCCCTTATGTTTGTGTAAGCTCAAAGCTAAGTACACACAAACATGTAATATGAGCACACACATCTAAGGCTTTCATGTGATGTCAGTTCCACATCTGCAAGGTTTCATGAGTACATCCTGTACAGTTGTGACATTACAACAATGACAAAATCTGTCCACAGATGTCTGCCAAAGTGCTCAAACCCATCAATGCACAATAGTACATTTGCCAGGATGATGCACAAAGAGAGACTCTCACAAAAAAATCAGCAGCAGCAACCACATGGTTGCAGCAGGAAACAAAAAATGTTTGCAACAGTGTATTTTTTATTTTTTTTATATTTAGAAAGATCATCCAATTTTATAATATGTATAAATATCTATAAAAAGGGAACAACACAAGGCAGAAACATGTGCTGGTACACAGAGAAACCACTCACTCTAAAAGACATTTCCAGGTTTTCTCCTCCCCAGATATCCATCCCTGGATCGTAACTCCCAATTTCTTCAAAATACGTCTTGTCTATAGAGAATAATCCTCCTGCCATGGTGGGAGTCCTGCAAAAAACATAAATTAAGGCAACAACACAAAACCTTTTTGTAATATTTCATTTCCTCATACTGAATTCGTTAGCATCTTTTTGTAACTAAGAGGAACATTGAGGATATAATAACAGGCCAATTTGTTTGACAATTTGAAACAAAGCCTTAGAGGGGCAATTACTTTTATCTTTTAATTCATTCTATACTCAAGTCAGTCCTAAATAAAGGATATTGTTTGCTGCTTGGAGTGATTTGCATACAGATGAGTTTTGTGAAGCCAAAAAAGGCAGCTCTAAGCAGTTTCTATTTTCCTGTTTCAAAATACATGGATGCTTATGCTACAAAGAGAAACATCACAACTCTGTGGATGCCATTTAGGCAGAAGCTGGCATCAGTGGGACACAGAGGGAAAGATGATCTATTTCTAGCTCTAGATAAAAATGGAGCTTTTTATAAAAGAATATTTTGTAGAGAAATTTAACTTTCAGCATTTCCTCTGTAGCCTGCTGTACAGGGAAAAAAAAGCTGCATTTAATTAAGCTTACAAAATATTTCCAACTTTTTCAGCGTTTAATCTGATCTCGCCTCTCTTATTTCAAGACGATATGCAAGTGCAAAGCCACACACAGATGTACCTGACAGGGAGTGTTCTATCCCCTTTGCGTCGATCCATCTCCCGCTGGGGAACAGGATACCATCGAAAATTCAGCTTCCAGTTGAATCCACCGTAAGTCATATCAGAGCCTGCCATGTATTCAAATGTCTCGTCGCTGATGACATCTATGATAGGGCACACCACTGCAGTCCTGAAACACACAAAGTGCCATAATGTTCACATGTATGATGAAACAGGCTTGACTGAAATGAAGCATGTGGTTCATTATCATATTCAACGTGCCTCAACATCCCACCATCATGAAATCGACCGCATACTGTGAAGAAATCAGGTTCTGGGTTGTAACTGCAAATTCTATGCACACCATGCCAGCAACTAGCTATTACTCACATTATTAAATGTTCTGAAGAAAATGATCATTAATCGTAAAGCGCTGCAATCAGCTGAACATTCACGTTTTGATTAATCAATTAACTGGTTAGTCTTTAAAAAGTTACAAGAAAATATGAAAATTAAATCATCAAAAGTGTTGTTCTCCTTTTGTCCACTCAGCTGCTGTAATATAAACAACATTTCTGTAAAAACAGAGATGAATCCCTGTTTCAACTTATGAAATACGAAGTCAAAACAGAAGTCATTTAAACCCTAAACACAAAATAAAGACAATATATTGAATATTAGGTGGAATATATAATAGCTTAATATGTTGAATTTATATCTAACAACATTTTTAAGGTGGAGCTGGGGGAACGAGATTTGTGTAACAGTTTGAAGGGCAGAATGACACTGTGTTTTAAAGGACAGGGATCTGAGAGGCTGATTGGCTTTGGAGAAGGAGTCAAGAAGATTACGGGATCAGAGGGGATGACGACAAAATTAAGAATGAGTGGAATTTAAAATAGTGGGAAAGCGGAAGTGACCAAAGAAAAGATCAACAGTGACAACAAAAACACCTAGAAAAGCAGGCACATGGAATAACACAATAATTTCATTTCTGAAATTATGCAAGTAATATTCAGAAAATCCAGGGAGATCTCGGTACACAAGGGACACGGAGAAAACCAATATTGAAGCTTGAATATTTTGAATTTGCCCTCAGGCAACACTGCAGTAGAAAAAAAAAAAAAAAAAAAAAAAAAAAAACAGCTACAATTCTGTAATGGAAATCACTTCACGGGCTCTGAAAATCATTGCAACTGAACGCAATTTTATCGCAGCTAAAAATTTACCATGCAAAGAAAAACGGAGCCCGAGCTCATTTAAGATGGATTGAGAGGAAGTAGGCAAACTGTCAGGTGGTGTGATGGAAATCACAGATCCTGCATCTTATGGGATAAAGAGGAAAAGGACCACCCAACTTATTACCAGCGCAGATGAAAGGCTAAAATCTTATGGGATATATTTTTAAAAAGATATATTCTATGTTTTATATGCTGCCATCCAGACAATGTCTATGTTTATTTGATCGAGACAATTTTCTTGCATGCATTACAACGGCACAGTAAGACTGTAGCTACCCCACAATAAGAGGTTTTATTTAAACATTTTACATATTATACATTGAACAAAATCGAACACAGGACCACCGAAATTCTTGGGCAGCTGACAAACAACGATAAACATTCTCAGTTCTGTGTGTTGGAAGACAATGTAAATACAGTTTCTTGGAATCCCTGCATTGTTTTTATTGAAGGGCGGTGCAGATGTGTAGGAAGTATGGTTGCACAGGTATTATTTTGTAAGATAAATGCATGTACTTCCTCTCAGGATAGTCACAGACAAAATTATTTCTTTATCAAAAAGAGCAGGTCTGGAAATTTAATCTTTGAACATACAGTGTAATTTCTGCACCATCTCAACAGTCTGCACTCAGACTTAAAGACATCAATACATGTGCAGCAGCATTCAGTAAAAGTGTAATGGCTCCATAATACAATATTCGGAGTCATATGATACCAATTTCCTCCTGAGGGTAAATTAATGTGTCTGACCTCAGATAAGGTAAGAATCACAAGAGGATCATCATCATTCATTACTGTCACACAGAAACAGTGGATGGCATAAATGTGTCTACAGAGCATGGGCAAATGCCTTATGTAGCATCTTAATATTTTGATAAACAGCATAAATTAAATGAATTCTTCATCACTTTAAATCAAAGCTATTTGTTTAATGGTTTTACAGATGCAGCAAACTCAAACCTTTGCCCACTTAATACAGATACTGCATAAGTCATATAGTGTTGACATGATGGCGGTGTTACTGTAATTGTCATGGTCCCAGGATTCTTATTTGTTGGTGGTTTTGTTTATTATTACAGTTTCTTTTTTGATGCTGTGATTATTTTGCTTTAATGACTTTCTTGTATAACTTTACTGAAATTTCCCAGTATTTGCCTTAGTGTAAAGCTGCTGTGTGTAGGTGTGTGTCTAATCTCTGCATTTATTAGCTATTTCCCTTTTTTCCCCTGTAATGATTCGTCTCCGGTGTTTTGGATTTAGTCTTACTTCCCCACCTGACTCGCTGTCTTTGATTATCTTCACCTGTGTCTCGTTACAGGGCTGTGTCCACTTTCCCTTAATTATAAATACTGTCATATAAGTGTTGTTGTCTTCCCCTCTGTCCCTGTCTGTGATCATCACCCGGGTGGTTTTGTCTTCATGCTCTTGCGGCTTAGGTTTTGTTTCTCTTCGTGTTTTGCTCTGTGGACTTCTGCCATCAGCCTAATTAAACGGCTTACCTTTTGTTAAACCCTGCTGCCTCCTGTGTCTGTTTTTTGGGTTCTCAACCTTACACTCTACACAGTTTGCATAACCTGCAGATTGACAGAAGCTATCTTTTCCTCTGAGGTTGCAGCATAATTATTATCTCATATCAGCAGTGCCAGGCAGCGTATTAATAACTGAAAGTTTGCTTTCCCATCAGTATTCAGATAGTTTTGGCTCAAGTACCCAGTGATGCAACCAAGGCGAAATATGATAACAACTGCAGTAATAAAGCGTTTTTAGGGCTCAATAGTAACACTAAACTGTCAAAACAATAGGAGGTTTTGCAGTAGTGTGGTGCACTGCTGCAAAAACGTCAAACATATGTGTGATTTCCTATCAGTGCCTTCAAAAAGACAGCATTAAATTCAAAATACTTAGTGATGTCAATTTTAGCTCCTACCTGTCCTCTTTGATGCGAGCCAGCAGGGGCTCTAGCCAGCCAACAGTACACTCGCAGTGAGCATCAAGAAAGGTGATGACCTGACCGGTGGTGGCGGCTGCCCCCCTCAACCTGGCTCTGATTAGACCTGAACGCTGCTCCATCCTCAGGATCCTCACCGGCACCTCCAGAGTACGCACATAGTTCTCCAGTTTCTTCTTTAGGAAATCTGAAAGAAATTATGCAAAAGAAAATTCATAACAAGTTAAATATGGACAATATGATGATGAGATTTCAATCAGGTCATCAAATTATCAATTCGAGCTAGTCAGCTTATGTCCAGCTGAGAACTTATGGATTCCAAAATAAAATAATAACATTTGAAAACCAGGTTTTTAGCTACTACCTATTGGGATTATATGTCATATTTATGGGTTACAGAACTGCAAATTAAAAAATAAGGTAAAGATAGTAAGACCATAATTACTTGAGCACATAAATATTGTTTCTTGACTCATCAGAGGTGGATGTGCCACCTAAAATAATAGCATAACCAATAAAGGAAGAAATTCTTTACTTACATGTCTTTAAATATTTCACGATTCCTTAAACTGTGATATGGCTGAATCAAAACCTGGAAACCTGACCGTTATTTCTATAATGCTCAAAAATGTACTTATCAATGTGTTTTTACTTGAGTCTTCAACATCACACTCCTCATTTGTTTTTTCCAGGGTTTAGTGAGGAGTTCTCAGAGTAAAAAACCCCAAAATTATGTACATTTGAACCACAAACGTTCCATTTGGCTTTTTTATTAATCTAAAAGATCTTAAATGGTTATTTGAAGATTACAAGAACAAATGGGACTCACAGCCTTACATCGAAGGTTAATTGGTGTATTTATTCATCAGGTTCTAAAAATAAATACTAACACCATAAAGTCCTTATGTTGTAATTTAAAAAAAAAAAAAAAAAAAAAGCTAGATTAGCTTTAATTTATCTTGCTACACAGCCAGAAACGTGGATCCCTTTTATCATAATCATCCTACAGTACTCCATCACATACATCCTGTATACTTTGTTAACGTACACAGATTACAAACCTCGCTCGCTGGCATCATCAACTAGGATAATTTCCACCAGCAAGTGTTTAGGAGAGCGGTTGATGACGCTGTGAACAGTTCGCAGCAGCGTGCTCCATGCCTCGTTGTGAAACACGATGACAATGCTGGTGTTGGGCAGGTCATCCGAGTACACTTTGGTCTTACAGCTGACAGAGTAACACAGGGGGGGAAAAGGCAAATCAGTGACATAAGACTTTACAGAGGAAAGTTCCCTTAGATATGCAGAGTCAACAAACTAGGTGAAAAGTCAGAGCTTTAATAAACCCTATTAATTTAAATCCATATCTGCTGGCAGTTAATTTAAAGAGTGTTTTTGTCCTTTGTTGATAAAATAACATTAAATTTATTTATTTTTTATAGTTCAAATATTTCACAAATATTTTAACTATACTGGATGTTTTTCATACTGATAATTATTAATATGTAATCACCATTTTACAGTATATTAATCTTAGACTGTTTAGATTTTTACACTGACAATTGTTGGAGATTGCAGATTATTATGTAACAATATGTATTACTGTATAACAAATTTTAAAAATATTATTTCATTTTTTGAAAGAAAAACAATTATACTTTTAGTCTCAAATAATTTAGTCCTGTAAAATTACAAGCTGTGACAATTAAAGTTTCTAAAAGGTTAATATATGGTAAAACTGTAATGTTACGATAGCTGATGATCTGATTATCATTTGTTTTAATCTTTGATATTCTGTTTATTAAAAGGATTCATACTTTGAAAATGTATCCCAAAACTAAAATGGTCATTTACAATGACAAACATAATTTCTCAATATGTTTGAACCACTGCACAGAGCATCTAATCTGTTGCTGTACTACTACTGAGTTAGTTTCAAAATGCAGCCCATTATTTTGTATCAGAGAACATAAAGTTCCCAAGTGTTATCCAGTTTCGCCATCAGTGCAAAAACACTGTCACAATAGGTTTACTGAAAGATATTGAGAAAGAAAGTAGAAAAAGTTAAACCAGCGTTGACAGCTATGTCAGCATGTCCTTGGATTAATGTGACGTCTGTCAAAGCCAAAGGGTGTGAATGTGGGACGGTGCTGTAGTCAGTGCTGTTGAATAAAGAATTAGCTACATTACAGAAGAGGATGTGGACAGTGAAGGCAGCATGTATGGCTAGAGGAGGTGGTGATGTGGGGGAGGGGGGGGTTACCGGAGCAGGCAGCATTGCTAGTTCTGTCCTGTCTATTCAATGTGACAGCACTGACTGACATAACTAGGCCAGGAGGCTGCCTTGAAGACATAATGCTGGTGAAATTTTGCACAGCTCAGCTGTGCGCTGTAATAAAGATGCTGTATTATTTATATGGACCCATATTGGGTAGAAATACAGAGTTCACATCATCTGAATGTTCAACTTTTTCTCTCTAATATAGATCTTCTTTTGCACTGTATAAATTTTTATGTATTGTATTTTATACAGTTTTTCCACATCCCAGACAATCTGGAGTGGTCTTCTTCTTGAAACAGGCAAAAACAGGAGCTAAAACAAAAAGAATGTAGGAGTTTAGAAAGATAATTTTGTGGCTTATTTCTCATTTGACAGGTAGAGACTCTGATAACCACTTAATGAAAAGTGCCGTGAAGAACTCAACTGGAATAGTTAAACATGAATCGCTTGGATATTGTCTCCGCACTAGGCAAACGTCTGTGCATATCAGCAGCCTTAAATGAATGTGCCCATGTTTCATACAAGATGCATTTTGAATTTTCATTAGGTGTTCAAGAGGCTCTTGAATGACAGTAAACAAACCCTACTCCCATTCAAATGTCAAGCCTAATGCAAAACGCGAGGGACCTAATAGATCCTGCATGGAAATGATAGTCATTATTAAAGATATCTTTCACAGTGGGTACAGTTGTTATTACTAATAACATGTAATGGACCCAACTGTTTAAATTCTATTTAAATTATCAGAAAACTTTTCTTACATTTCCTTAGTTTCTGCAGTCCTTATGAGACTAGATAAGCATCTTTCAATCAATTTGATAGCATAATTTCTTGATTTCACTTTCAGATATCATTAAGCTCTCTCTGCAGTCTCCTTCGCACTCAAATAGTCTCCGTACAGCTTCATTCAGCTCTTGCTCAAAACTGTAAGTGCGTCACATACTTGGCTCTGGTTTTTGTGTAGCGGCTTATCACTATAAAAATTCCTCCAAGAATAAAATGCCAGATACAGTGGGGCAAAAAAGTATTTAGTCAGCCACCGATTGTGCAAGTTCCCCCACCTAAAATGATGACAGAGGTCAGTAATTTGCACCAGAGGTACACTTCAACTGTGAGAGACAGAATGTGAAAAAAAAATCCATGAATCCACATGGTAGGATTTGTAAAGAATTTATTCGTAAATCAGGGTGGAAAATAAGTATTTGGTCACCTCAAACAAGGAAAATCTCTGGCTCTCACAGACCTGTAACGTCTTCTGTAAGAAGCTTTTCTGTCCCCCACTCGTTACCTGTATGAATGGCACCTGTTTGAACTCATCATCTGTATAAAAGACACCTGTCCACAGCCTCAAACAGTCAGACTCCAAACTCTGCCATGGCCAAGACCAAAGAGCTTTCGAAGGACACCAGGAAAAGTATTGTAGACCTGCACCAGACTGGGAAGAGTGAATCTACAATAGGCAAGCAGCTTAGTGTGAAAAAAATCAACTGTGGGAGCAATCATCAGAAAATGGAAGACATACAAGACCACTGATAATCTCCCTCGATCTGGGGCTCCACGCAAGATCTCATCCCGTGGGGTCAAAATGATCATGAGAACGGTGAGCAAAGATCCCAGAACCACACGGGGGGACCTGGTGAATGACCTGCAGAGAGCTGGGACCAAAGTAACAAAGGTCACCATCAGTAACACACTACAACGGCAGGGAATCAAATCCCGCAGTGCCAGACGTGTTCCGCTGCTGAAGCCAGTGCATGTCCAGGCCCGTCTGAAGTTTGCCAGAGAGCACATGGATGGTACAGCAGAGGATTGGGAGAATGTCATGTGGTCAGATGAAACCAAAGTAGAACTTTTTGGTATAAACTCAACTCGTCGTGTTTGGAGGAAGAAGAATACTGAGTTGCATCCCAAGAACACCATACCTACTGTGAAGCATGGGGGTGGAAACATCATGCTATGGGGCTGTTTTTCTGCCAAGGGGACAGGACGACTGATCCGTGTTAAGGACAGAATGAATGGGGCCATGTATCGTGAGATTTTGAGCCAAAACCTCCTTCCATCAGTGAGAACTTTGAAGATGAAACGAGGCTGGGTCTTCCAACATGACAATGATCCAAAACACACCGCCCGGGCAACAAAGGAGTGGCTCCGTAAGAAGCATTTGAAAGTCCTGGAGTGGCCTAGCCAGTCTCCAGACCTCAACCCCATAGAAAATCTGTGGCGGGAGTTGAAAGTCCGTGTTGCTCGGCGACAGCCCCAAAACATCACTGCTCTCGAGAAGATCTGCATGGAGGAATGGGCCAAAATACCAGCTACTGTGTGTGCAAACCTGGTAAAGACCTATAGTAAACGTTTGACCTCTGTTATTGCCAACAAAGGTTATGTTACAAAGTATTGAGTTGTATTTTTGTTATTGACCAAATACTTATTTTCCACCCTGATTTACGAATAAATTCTTTACAAATCCTACCATGTGGATTCATGGATTTTTTTTCATATTCTGTCTCTCACAGTTGAAGTGTACCTCTGGTGCAAATTACTGACCTCTGTCATCATTTTAGGAGGGGGAACTTGCACAATCGGTGGCTGACTAAATACTTTTTTGCCCCACTGTATGGTGTCGACCATGGAAGTCACCTCTGTATTCTTACCAGGCTGTTTGCTTTGAGTAGAGTGAGTCAGTCTTGTTCTATTATTCTCTGTTGCTTTCTCAGTAACTCTGAGTTAATTATATGTTAGTAAAAATCTGACAAAAAAAACAAAAACAAAAAAAAAACCTCTTAGCAATGACGGTAAAAACATTATGTGCCATGAAATGTGATGGATATCAAAGATCTGCTGTTAGTGAGGACACACGAGCCTACGCACCCATCCAGCCTCACATCTGGCAGACTCCTGTTGAGTGCAATCATATCACTGGCCATCAGATTGAACTGGTTAATCTTAAAGAGCTCCTTCATTTTCTCCTGGTCATCCTTAGGGATGTTTACCGCTTTGCCCATCTCACCTGGACCCTCGTGGCTCCGTGATATCACTGCTGTAACGTAACAAGGACACCACAGAAAAATATTTGATAAGAAAACATATTTTTTCTCACCAATGAGGCAAAAAATTAACATCAAACTGCATCATAAAACAAATCCTACTGCATAAAAAAATGGACTCTGTGGAACAAGGAGAGTGCAGAAAAGCATGTGTGTTCTATTTCTGTCCACTTTGTAAATTTTCTAAACTCATATAGCACCCAGAGCATGAAAACCTAATTTTCCAGATCAATGTGCATGTGCGTTTGATATCAGAAATAAATGTACTGGCAGCTGGTGTTCACATATGAACAGTACATCATGTTCACATTTATTACATTATTATAATACTGTATATACACAAAAAAAAAGTGAAAGCCTCTAAAAGCCTGTGCTATTAAAAGCAAGGAAAAATGTGTTTCTTCAAACATCAGTGCATGCTCAGCAGAGAAAAACCTTTAACACAGTGACAGTGCATCCACTCCGCTTAAGCCCTCTCCTGGTGGTTCTGGCTTAGGCTGACAGGGTATTAAGCACTGCACACTTTGCCAGCTATATTTAATTTAAAAATTTAATCTATTAGGAGGTTTTGAATTCAGAGATTTAGGCCGATGTATTAATAGGTGAAAAAAAAAGCAGCATGACAGCAAAACAATTGCTACAGTTTTTGCTATGAAAGGCCTGGAAAATATCAGAATTGCTACTGGTGCTGCACAGCGCAAGCTTCTTTCACCGAAGGTAAATAACCACCCATTGATTTATGGCTCTGCTCTCTCTCACTCTCTTTCTCTCTAATAATCTCTTAGAACAGAGGCTGTGATTTCCATGAAAGGGGGACACATAGTTCACATTAGCTGCATGGACTCCTGCTAAGAGGATTTCCTAAGACCCCTTTGTGGAGACGGACTGGGATCGGTCGGATTGTAACCTAAACTGATCCTGGGTTTTCTTTATAATGCTGCTGACACTCTTCATTTGGACACCAGCTGACATCTGATGGACACAGCTCTCGAGCTGCATGACTGAGCATCAAAACATTCTCAGCCTGCTCCAGCCATACTCCAATCCATCATTCTTTGTGTGTGGATAAACGTCCTGCTGAAAGAGAGAGAGCACCAAGCAAACCATCGATAGTAGTTTGGGTTTCTAAAGAAATTGTAGTGAAATTGCCAGCTGCAAAGCTGAGACTGTGCAATATTGCTTGATAGATTGATGGCGGCCAAGCAGCAGTGCAATGACTAAAAGCTGGAAGCTGTACAGTACAGGTTTGTGTTATCTGAAAGCTAATTTGTACTGCCTAATTTATAGCGGCTGACAAAGTATTAGATATGCTAATGTGAAAATAGGGTTAAAAGGGCAAATGAAAGGCAGCGAAAGGTGCTAAAATGAGAGTTAAATGTGTAATTATGTGTAAATTCTCAAGATCCAACTTAAACTATACAGGTAAGAGTTGTCATGTTTTGATTGTTAGCTACGAACCATGTGCACTAAACACATCCGTGCATCTTTGTTGTGAGCTTTGTGTTGGCATTGTGATTTTTTTTCCAAAGCCTTCAATGGTCATAAAGCTTGTCCTAGTGGAAAATGCAAGCTGGAAGGGACATCTTTTAATAGTCTTCCCCTACTCTGTAGGCACCAATTAGCTTCACTTCACATCATCGGTCACTTTCTTAAAGGAGCCCATAACATTTGAAGGGCCTGATAATTTATCAGTCTCTGAATTATCATAAACTGACACTCCCTAATGACACTTCTTGACCTGGTTTCCAAGTCCTTATCAGTTGATTAGGGCCCAACTTCCTAATGACGTTCTGAGCCCGAGTCAGTGTACGCATGGATAAGTGTTGAAACAGTCTGAACCCAGGATTTTAACAAAAGAGAGAACCTAGAGGCCTAAAGAAACACTTCAACAGACCAGTGCAATTAGCAATCTAATTAAATTGCTTGGTTTTCTAGAATATTTCCAACCTTCTGTAATGCTGTGGTAGCTAAATCAGAAAGAAAGGTTCTGGAAGAGAGAAGGATGTAAAAGTGGAATATCAGAACAGTAGCCAACATGCTATTTAGGCAATGCCAGGTAAGAGAAGAAGCCACAGCTGAGACCAACACACACGAGAGTGTGCAGATTTTGTGCAGTCATCATCACATGGCTCCTAAGGTTCCCCTGTTGTTTTCATTCTCGTTTACGTAGAAAAAGATCTGTGTAGTGTTACACAGTTGGAGTCTCCTCCTTAGGCTCAATCCATTCTTTTTCATCCAGACATTACCTCCTCTTCTTCCCTCTCCTGCTCTGCTCTGCTTCCTGCCTGGCACAGCTGCCATTTCATTAAAGATCAGAGAAGCTCCTCTTGAACACATAACCACAGAAGACCATGAACACACATCACACAGAGTACTTCTACACGTCTCTGATATGTACTTTAACTGTAACTCTCTCTGGTGGTACATGACAGGTAAGGGGCTTTGTTCATAGAAAGATTCCAGCCAATTAGAATTAATGTACCATTTGTGAAATGTAAGTACACAGAACTGGCTTAATTATTCTTGGCATAGATGTAACAAACATTCCAGGAAGATTTTGGTCTATATTGATATGACAACATCACACAGTTGTTGCACATCCAAGAAGAGAATTTTCAGTTCCACCACATCCCAACGTTGCTCTATAGTATTGAGATCTGGTGACAATGAAGACCATTCACAGCTTGAGATGATCTGAGCTTTGTAATAAGGTGCATTGTCCTGCTGGGAAATGCCATCTGAAGATGAGCACATAAAGGAATAGATATGATCAGCAACAATGCAGAATGGAGATCAATCAAGTGAGACCATGCGAATTATAGGAAAACAGGAAACTGAGGCTGACTTGACAAGAGTGGCACCCGGTGTGGTCTTCTGCTTCATGGTTTGACATGTAATAACGCACCCTGATTCTACCAGCCTAAACCAGTGTGGCCATTTTCCTCTGACCTCTGACATCAACAAGGTATTTTCACAAAGACAACTGCAGATAATTGGAGATTTTCTCTTTTTTGGACCATTTTCTGTAAAGCCAAGTTTATGAAATCTCCCCATCTGCCACCAACAACACCACCAAATTCAAAGTCACTTAGTTCATCTTTTTGCTCCCATTCTGATGATCCACTTCAGTGGGTCATCTTGACCATGTCTAAATGCACTGAGTTGCTACCACTTGATTGGTGTCATTGATTACACATTTTGTTTTTCAAGCTGTTGCACTGGTGTACCAAAGCAGCCATACTCCTGATAACCTAAAACTGCCTTGTAGATATTTTTTAGAAAGAAGAAATTTGTTATGGAGACATATACAAAACTTATTTTTATATTAAACTGCAAGAGATATGAATTTTCTGTCTGAAGTTAAGCATTTTTAAATCATATTCTATAGGGAATACTTAATCGGCCTCGAGCAGTCATTCGTGGAACCCCAAGGGCTTCATTATTCAGCCTCAGAGCTTGTTTTGTCTACTTAACATGCTAACACGTGCTTTATTGTGTTTTCAGCAGGTTTGCAGTACTGACAAAGCAAATTTTTCATGCAAGACTTGTTTTCACTAATGTGAATCCAAGCAAAGAACTATTTTAAACCCAAAATATATAGCAGTGAATTTGTGCTAAACTAAAAATTATATTTTCATTTGACAGCTGAAAAAACAAAATAAAACAGGGGTACACTAAACAAGATAAAACTTGAAACACCTGCAAACACCTGAGACATTGCAAAATCCAGTGTTTGACAGCAATCCTAAGATATAGTTATTATACACAGAAAATCCTGCGATTTTAAATGCAAAATAACATCCAATGTAACTGCCGACTTTTGTATGGTAATGAGACAGTAACTTGGAGCTCAGCATCATTCTAACCTTAAAAGCAGATTACTAAGCTTCTTAGAAACCTGCTTACTTGAGGACATGTGAGGAAATTAACTCTCCAAGAGGAAGTGTGTTAAAGTGATTTGAGCAGCACACCTTTATACAGAAAAGCACAGTTTTACAACAACAACAACAAAAAAAACTCAATTTCATCAGTTTTGTTTCATAGTCCATTTAGCAAAAAAGACACTACATCAGAAATGTCTAATTCCTATAAATGTATTAATATTTTTGTAGTTATAAAACCAGAATTCCTACCTTTTCTTACATTACCATCAACTATTAACTGTTTCATACGTTTTATGTGTTTTTCTGCTCTTTCAGGCAAAGCTTTCCCCTCTGTGAACACTGTTTTAATAGGATTTGTCACAGATGATGAATATTTTACACTCAAGTGAAATTTTAGAAGGTATTATTGTCTCCAGCTTACATTCTCATGCATGTTTGATACAAAATAACAGGGAAATTCTGCAACATCAACTTACCTCGAAGAGCAGGGAGCAGCGAGCGGTCCTTCCTATCATCACATTTGTTACACTCGCTGAAGTACAACAGCAAGAACACATCCACCAGCACCCACACTAAAGAGGTGGTCAACACCACCTTGCAGTAGACAAACCGTCGCATCACCTCTCTAGGATGACAGCCAGGCAAGTTGATAGCGAGCACTTAGGAGCGCTCAGGCTGCCAGTGAAACATCTGAAGTCCAATGACAGGGTGAAGTAACAGGGACGAAACCAAGCAGGTTTGACCGCGGGGCATCATCCTTCAGGAGATGGGAGAAGAAAAAAAAGAGGACAGAATACTAAATTTAATGTGAAATGACATCATAATAGTTTAAGTATTCCTGCTATGAATCCAACTGATATCAATCCTTACAATAAAATGACATAAAATGCAAAGGAGGAACTACATTAAAGTAGATCAATATTAACCTCTTTTAACCTTTCTCAGGCTTCACTTTATCAGTTCCATTGCTCTGTTAGCATCCTCTGTCAGAGGTTTCCAGTAGCTACTTAAGAGACCTGCAAAAATATGAGTAGTATGAGTATGACCTGCTAAACTTAAGTAAAATTTCTATGATCTTTCTAAGATATTGATTGATCAGCTATAATCTAGTAATGACACTGCTTCTTCACTGTTTTAGGAGGAGGACCATTATGAAGCTCAAATATTTCCTTTTGTAATTTATGTTGTAATTGATCTACTTTTTGCTTTGAGTCATTGCCCTAGAAATGTTTAAAAATATCCAGGGGGTCTTATACAAGCTGCGATTTCTTTTTTTACTAGTAGTGGTTCAGTTTGTGGCAAAACAACAATGAAGTTCATGCATAAGTTTAAGAAGTAAGCTCTCTATTTACTCATCTGTGTGTTTGACCTGCTAGTCCATTCTTAAAACACTCGAGTCGGTCTTCATCACTTTAGCCCATTCATTTTCCCACCTTCTACAAGCTAGTGACCCACTTTTTCATGTCCTTCTGATCTCAGTGCTCGTCTATCATTCTGCCTTTCAGAGTCTCATTCGTACGACCCACCTCCTCCCTGCCTCCACCTAACTAAAAGATCTTCATTTAACTTTTCATTACTTCTTCTCCACCGTCACCAGCATCTGGGTTCCAGGGGATCCTGTCCCAGCATTGTTGGGACTCCACTCTGCTATATGGAGTCACTGTAAAAGTACACTGCTCTTTCAGTTCAATGGTTTTCATGTCAGGACATAATAAACATATGGTGAGATCTGCCAAAACCAGCTGTTAGTTTCTGTGGAGCAGTAAGGATGCACTTGCATGTGACACAGTGCAACAGCTGAGAGGACCACCAGGCTACACCCCATGAAAAATGATCCTGCTTGACAGTAGCCTGTTTTGTATTCAACTGTATATCGCACTTAATTTTTCATTTTTTCTAAGCATGACCTCCCTGTACTGATTTTTGCAAATCATATTTTCTTCCGGTGAAGTATAACTGACAGCATATACAGACAAAAATATACTCTTCTTCAATGCAACAAATTCCTTTGTTGGATTATTTTTTCTTGTTCAGCTACATGAGTGTGACTTCAGTGTCTGATCAGGTTTTTTGATAGGAACATTTTCGTAGTGGTCCCCTACGCTTTGTTTTGGTGAACTTTGGGTCTTCGCTTACAGTGAAGAGCTTTCATGCTAACAGCATGTAAGTGTGTGGCTGTGAGTGAACACTCCACGTTTTTTATCACTATTTTTTCCACTGTCCACATGTTATGCAGGAAACCCATGAGCTACATCTCAGACTCAGTTAAATGTTTAAGTTTAAGACAATATGTTTAGAAAAAGACTGAACAAGAATGAATGGCTTTTTCTCTCAAAAAACAAAAACATGTCAGCACAGCCTAGCTTTGCAAAATCTGGAACAATTTCCTTTGGACAGATGAGACCAAAGTGGAGATGGTTGCACATAACCACGTTTGGTGAAAACTAAACAGAGCAAATCAGCACAAACATGTCATGCCAGCTGTCAAGTACGGCGATAAATTGGTGATGATTTGGGTTTGTTTTGCAGTCAGAGGATCTGGGCACTTTGCAGTCATCGAGTCAACCACATACTCCTCTGTATGCCAAAATATTCTAGAGTCAAATGTGAGGCCATCTGTCCGACAGCTAAAGCTCAGCCAAAATTTGGTCATGCAACGGGAAAATCATCACAAGCACAGCAGCAAATCTACAGAATGACTGAAAAAGAAAACAGGTTGTACCTTAAGAAAACTGTGCATGAACAAATATCTGCAAAACTAAATGAATTGAAGCAACATTGGGAAAAAAAGAGTGGGACAGAAATCCTCCACAGTGATGTGAGAAAGTGAACAAATAATACAGTTATTGTTGCTAAAAGTTGTTCTATAAGCCACTAAATCATGTGGGTATGTAGCTTTTCACACACCGATCTGCACTTCAGTTCATTTTCTGTTAAATAAATAATAACACAGCGTACTGCAATTTGTCATGTTTTATAGGTCATCTGAGGTTGTATTTACTTAACTTTATGATCTGGTAACATTTACATGCTATGTAAAACCATAGAGTGTAAAACCTTAGGGCATACTTTCCTTTTGTCATGACTCTAGGTTCAGCTGAGTCTAATTCACTTTAAATTATATAGCGCCAAATCACAACAACAGTTGCCGAAAGAAACTTAATATAGTCAGGGAAAAGACCCTATAATAATAGAGAGAAAACAGAAAACCCAACAATCAGACAGCGCCCTGTGAGCAAGCACTTTTGCGACAGTGGGAAGGAAAAACTCCCTTTTAACAGGAAGAAACCTCTGGCAGAACCAGACAACCAGACAGGGGCAACCTGTTGGGGGTGAGGAGAGGAAGACAGGGCAAAGACATATGGTGGAAGAGAGCCTAGATTAATAATAACTAATGATTAAATGCAGAAACGTGTATAAACACATAGAGAGTAAAAAAGGTGAGTAAAATAATAGCCAAATAGCTTATTACTCAAACTCTGTGCTTCTATAAATCACGGTCAATTCTCAAGCAATCTTTGCTTCTCTACAGGTGTTTAACTTTACTGCAAACATTTTCTAATTATAACTAATAATGATGAGCAACATATGAGACAAATAGCACTACACATAGTATATTTTCTTCATACACGGTTCTCATTTTCTATTTCCATTCTTTATTGCTTTTACAAGAATAATAAATAAATAAAAATTAAAAACTGAGGAATGAAGGTCAAATCCAGTCTCCCACATTGGACTGACCACAGTCCCTTCGCATTCTTCCATTTGAGAGGATGAGTGAATGCTCATTTCCCTTGTACAGTCTTCACCCACTTCATCAGTAGTGCTGCTAAGACCATCTGGGATGCTTAAATACCAGAGGCAATTTGCAGAGGTTAAATATCTCATTGGCATGGAAAGTGCGCCTCACAATATTTCTGATGAAAGACAACATAATTTTCTGTCTAAAAGGATACTTGACTGAAATTATAGGTTTTTGTTAACTGAAAGACTTACGAAAGTACAATCTGGATTATATTACAGTCATGAATAACGCTTTCATTCAAATACACAAACCAAGCACAGAAATGGTCAGGAGTTTTTTGAACATCTGTAACAAAATACACCACAGTGCTTTTACATTACTCTGGGTAGTAAAACAGGTCAAAAAGATTGGATGGTCTACCGATTGTTTCCAGCCTAGGATGATGTGGTACATCCCATGTATTAAAGCCACACGAGCCTCTTGATATTCTCAAAATGTAAAATACATTAAACATAGTTTCCATAAATAACTATGCATTTAATTGCCAATGCATTTAGATATAACTTACCTGAGTAGTTACTTTCATAACTAGCTGAAAAACGCCTGCAGAGGAGTAAGAACAGATTTCCTTATCTTTCGCATGCAGCATGGTAAAGACTTTGCACTACACACACACACACACGCACACACACACCTCTGTGCCCCCTGTCTAAATGTCCATCACAGAGGCTGACACGCTTACCTTAGGCTAACTCTTATCTCATTCAAAAACAAGGCAGCCTCTACCCAGCTGCATCAAGACTGAAATCACAGTGCAGTGGATGATTTCAGTCACTCAGACAGAAACTGCACACTACTCACTAAAGTAGATGGATGCAGTCTACACTTAATGATTGTAATGAACAAAACTGTGACATTAAAAGCGAAACACAAGTCTGCATCTAGCATATCACCTCCACTCACACTGTAGACAGATCAATGATGATTCTGCCTTTATGATGTCTGTTTGCATCTCTAACCATCTGCTTTGCTGCATGTGTGTTACAAACATATTTGGGTGACTATGACTGCACCAGCCACACCACCAAGAGTTTGCTGGTCTGAAGAAGTCTGACTCAATTAGTCCCACCATCTGGAGAGATGAATATTTCCTGTCTGCTGTGCACAGCTCTAAAAATACATGTCTACATTCTCGACTTGAAGCAATTTTTTTTTCTTTCAATCTTTTCAATAGGAGTGTAAACCACTGGCCATTATTAACTGCTTCTCAAGTGACACTTAATTGTGTTGTTAGCAACACTCTTTGTTGTGAAATGTCTGGTGCAGTGCTACAAGTTAAATTATGTATTCCTCGCCCATTCAACAGGAGTGCTTCTACTGTATGCAAATGAAAGGCTGTATACTTAAGCTGCCAAACTGCGTTTCACAGTAATATAATTGGACACGGCTCACATCAGCATCTGACAATGGAGCTGTGACAGTAACAGGAGACTAAAAATTTAATAAATTAAAAAAACATAACATTTTTGCATGAATCTTTTTCTCCTCCACATTTACAGTACAAACCCTGCTGACCATCAAAGCACCCACTGAGGTTTGGGTGCTTTCTTAGGAGTAAGAGAGACCAGGCCAGCTAATAATTGACTTTGATATTTTCCCATCACGCACCTGCATCTAAAAGGTCACAAGCATCATGTAAAGCTGCAGTACTTTCTTAAGTGTTAAATGAAAACTGTATTTGTTATGTATGGTAAAAAAAAAACAAAAAAAAAAACTGGCATACAAACAATTAATAATTGGGTTAAACATATTGGTACAAACTGGAAGTCACACTGGCAGTGGCACTGAAAAATAACAATACATACACTGATCTTAGATTGCCCACTATGCATATGCAAGAGATTTTGGCAGCAGAAAATCATAGGCTTACTGGAAGAAAAGACTCCATCTATATAGCTCACTGTGGTGGTCTTAAAAGTGTTGATTACCTTCAATCTGTCAATCTTTCATTCATGTTCAGGTACATTAGGCCTTGGCTTCAAAGACTGGTTTATTAATTGTTAGATGTCACATGAACAAGACGACAAATACTGTAAGAGCAGCCAACCAAAACCACTCATTTTATGGTAATATAGATTAAATCTAAACTATAACCAAGCTCTCGACCACATTAAGATCACGGTTTAATGGTGTGATGTGTAACCATAGGAGCCAAATTTTAGTCTTGCTATGCAAGGTGTGCACGCAACAGAAAACGGGGACACTCTTTGCTTACCTAAATTATGGATGGAGTGAACCATTGACCTGTTCCTGACTCGCTCCCGGGCAACGTGTTGAACGTGGACGACATACCCAAATCTAATGCTAATTACTGGTTTAAAAAAAAAACGGGGCCAAATTTACCGCGCGAGCGCATAACATCTCGTAAAAAGACACCTAAGTTGCAGTCCATCTCAGCGCAGAGTAGTCCAAAATCCAGTCCGTCCAGTAAACCTTCTCATGGTACCTGTGTGGACTCCTTAATGTGATAAGTCTCCGGCTGAGCCGCACTAAACCGGTGGATATGAAGAGTCTCCATTATTTTTCCCCTTTTGCGTTTAAATGGATATGCGGTCACTGCAACAGACGCCTCTCTCCGCGCACCTGTTTTCCGAGTGAATATTGTAACGCTAAGAGGACAGGCTGAGATAATAGTCAGCACAATCTAACCTCAGCTCAGACCGACCTGCATATATACCGAGTCTCCTCTCTGATTGGCTCACAGCGACGTCGCTCACGAAATCCCTTTGAAGTAGGGCTTCACGGGCGTCTGGTAAATGTAGGCGCGTGCATGCCACCAAATATAGTGTTTGTTTTTTTAAATCATATATTAACATACATTTATCGAAATACGCTTAATTTGATTTTAGATACTTGAATTTTTATTTTGTTTTAAATTCGTTTTCACGGAATCTTCTCAGACATATATTAGGAGGTCAACTTGATGACAGTTATTTCCCATACTTTTCATTTAGCATAGGTTACCTGCAGCAAGAAATACAGCTATAAAAGCAATCAAAAGAAACGCCCAAATACCTATTCTCTTTGTGAAATGATCTTTTATTGACATTCTCGGTTTTAACTTTGTCCTAATCTGAACTAAGCCTGATTCCTCGTGTGGTTTTGTAGTTTCGCCTTTATAAAGCTTATAAGCAACTGTTAGAGCGTTTTCCTGTTTATGTTTCCAGTAGGGACAAGGAGAAAGCTGGTTAAAATACACTCTAAGGCAGATTACACCCGGTCAGGGTCTAAAGGTCAATTCACTGAAAATTTCCAAACGACACAGACACTTGTGTACATCACAGCTATTTTGAAGCAGACTTTTGGTGGATCGTGTTGAACAATGCTGCCATCTACTGTTATTGATAAGAAACTCGGTTTTGCCCCTGGGCAATTAGCCAGATAAAATCTAACCGAAGCATTTAATAAACATTCAGGGAATCATAATAACTCTGATGTACTGTCAACAATGTGCAGCCACAGACTCCAAACTCTCCTTTATTGCTATTTCATTTACCTCAGCGACAATAAAGAAGCTGCAATAAATACTGCAATCTGTTTTCTGTGAAATAAATCTGACTTCCGTTCATATCTGCAGTGTATGCAGATGAACACTGGCTTCAGATCAGACCCAAATTATCCACTAGATGTCACTACACGCCCTCCTTGAGTTAGAAAGTAATAAAAAAAAATTGAAAATAATACTTCTATTATCATTATTATTAGTAGTAGTAGTTTTAAGACTTTGAGTAACTAGATGGCTTTGGGGAGTATGTTTTTCTACGACAGCTGATGTATAGTATAAAGTTTTTTTCAAGTTTTAGAGTGAGCTCTACTGGCTGGGTAATTGTGAGGGAAATGTAAAGTAAAACTCAGTGGAAATAACCTGAGTTTTGAACTCAAAACTTTATTTCAAAAAAATTCAGAAAGGATTCCTTTTATTGTTTATGACAGGCCAAAGCTGTGAGGTGTGAGGCATAAACCCCCAAAGGCAAGATAGGAAAACACTGTGCTATAAGCAGGCCTTTTGCATGTGGCAGTGGAGAAAACACTGATTCGTATTATTAAATTTGCCTCCAAGCCATTTCAGGGTCCTCATATTGTGCATGTTGGTTCACTGTCATGAACAAAGCCATTGTTACAAACATCTGTAACACTTGTGTTCTTATTATTATCACGTGGAGCTTAAATCAGCCAGCTAAGCATCCAGTCTGGGCGGCTTTAGATCATGTGTAGGAGGGAATATATTTTGGACTTTTAACTTATATTCATAGGTTTCAGCTTTTCCGGGTAATCTGATAATCATCGTTGCCATTCATAAAAAGGAATTAAGTAAGAGATCAACAATAACAATTAAAACTACAGAAATTTCTCTCTCTCTTTCGTTTTTTGTTTGCTTTTCAATTCACAGACAAATTCATCAGGACTTTTTCTGTAATTTTACGCATGTATTAACTACATCTTACTACATTTACTACATCATTTACTTCATGTAGAAAAACTGAGACGTGCCGTTTCAGCTGCAACACGCATTTGTAAAGCTTATGAAGCTCACTTTGCATTCGTATATTGAACAGTTCTGGTCTTCAGTATGGCTGCAGGAACAGGATGCAAGCTGCTCTGGCCTCTCTCTGACACGGGGTCAGGCAAAGACCTGTCAAGGTTTTGAATGAACCACCAACTCAGTAAACCATGCATGCATACACACACCAACACACAGATGGCCGCAAACACCCAAACATACGTAACAGACAGTACGTAATGTCCTACATACATGCACATTAGTAGCACGCATGCGGTCCGGTCGTATGGTGGCGCTCTTGCTGTGCCTTCCTGCCACTGGAAAACAGCGACAGTCTGGCTATTTAACGGCGGGGCTGGTGGCTTCATTCCGCTCTGAAACTGGCAGCACACCACATGAAATCCCCAGTAATGCGATGCCAAAGCAGCTTGTTAAACTCAAGAAGAGCGCTGTCTGATCTGAGGGAACTTGTTCAACTCGCCGCCTCCTCATCTTCACTTTTCACTTGATGACAATTTCTGCCGGATCGTGCCCAGCGCGTCTTTCTCTCTCCGCCTTCCGCATCTGTCGCACTGAAAGTTTGGTTTTGCGAAAGTAGACATGAATAACACCGGCTTCAACCAAACAGAGAGCGGCCTATTCAACAAGACAGAGGAGTTTTTTTGCTGCAACTTTTCATCCGTGGTGACTGATAATGGCTTTGTGGCAGCCGCTCCGGATGAGAGGAGCCTCTTCATCATGAGGGTGGTCCAGATAGCTGTCATGTGCGTTTTATCCCTCACGGTGGTGTTTGGCATATTTTTCTTAGGCTGCAACCTCCTCATAAAGTCAGAGGGGATGATTAACTTTTTGGTAACGGACAGAAGACCGTCAAAAGAAGCGGAAGCAGTTATTGTTGGAGCCTACTGACTGATAAAGACATATACAGTGATCACACTCTGATCAGATGGCCACAGATCGGAGACAGTGTGATGATCAGCCGCCAAAACCGGGCCCCGTTTTCATAATGGTACTTAGAAAAAGAAACAAGAACTCAGAGGAGCGGTCACCTTGCAAGAGGTAACTGAACTCTGCTGGTGGCTGATACTCACGGGGTGGGTCTACCTTATTTCTGCTGGCCTTTAAAGCCAAGAAAGACTCATTCATCTTCTAGAGGTATAGTGCGTTTTAAGCCTATTGTTGTATTAAGTACTGTAGGCTATTTAATCACGCACTGTTGTCATTTCAGTATAGTTTCCCTGTTTGTAAAGCAGCATCCTTTGTCAAAATAGTGGCAAAGTCTTTGTATTTGCTGCTTAGAAATACCTCCTTGCATCGAAAATGCAAGGGCAAAATACATGAATGTTGTATGCCTCTGCATGCAACATGCAGCTCTCTATTTTCTGGTGACAGTTGTTTGCGTGTCTTTGTCGGCAGCGGTGAAAGTCCGTAATGCTGTGTATCATGTTCATTTGAATAAATTCATTCTGTAATTAAAGTTTTCTTCTTAAGATCTGCTTTTCTGTCATATCCTCCACCACGCCCTCTGCCAAAGTAACTGAGATCTCAGAAGCTAAAATTACAGCAGGAGAAAGAGCTCTTTGATTCATACTGTGATAATGACATGATGTTAAAATACAACAGAGGGTACTGATCCCGATGGATATATATTTTTAAGCTTTATCTATATCTATGAAGAGTTGTACAGTTACAGGGAACAAAGAAATAGCTGCTTTTCCCTCTTTTGATTTTTTAAATTAGATTTAGATTTAACATCTAAATATGAATTATTTTACCCAAAAGGATGCCTTAAAAATGCTCTAGAGTCCAAGAAAAAAAAAAGCCTTCCCGCCTTCCCAAGAGAGCCCTGTCTGGGTCAGATTTTGATCCATGCAGCTTTTTACATCCTTCCTCCTTCTGCCAAAACATCTGTTATGCTCATCCCCTGCTTCACCTGGATTCTACCTCCCCTGGAGCCTTAAAAATGACTTGCTTTCTCAGTTCAGAGAGGATGAAGCTATCGGACAATACGCTGCTGTCTGATTGCCCACCTGTGCTCCGCTCGCAGTTAAATAGAATCAACTTACTTAATTTAAAATGCCCTTCACCCCAGTTACTCCATCTGTTTTACCCTTTCTGATCTATGCATCTCGTCTGATGAATGTTTGTCAAGGTGGAAACTGTCTCAGGCCACATTTGCTGTCCTCATGCTGGATCTGAAGAATTCAAGCAAGCACTTATTTTACTAATCGTGCTGAGGAAAAATAAATGAGTAAGCAGTAATTAGATTTTATACTCTTATAGGTGGAAGACCTACACATGGGTTACATTAAATTAAAACAACTGCTATCAAATATGGCACAATCCAGTAGAGTGGCAATAAATGCTGCATTTGGGAAGCTTATGATGTTGACTTTACTGGGGCTATATTTTATAGTCTTGAACAGTGGGGGGCAAATATTGCCTAGATTCTTTAGAAGAGAGGAGTTTAATGAAAAACCACCAAAAACAACAGCTTGAGAAATTGCAACAACTGAATCAACACCTCTCGGAGTCAGCCTCCACAGAAACCCAGAGCTGGAAATCTTAAATATACAGCTGAGCTGGGCTTATAGGGTTCATATTCTGTTCTTGTCTTGCCTTCTTCAAATTTCTAATAAGAAATAACTGCAAAAGCACACAATCCTGGGAGGTTATTCATAGCAAGTTAATAGGCTTCTTTACATGTAAAATTCACACCCCATAAATTTACCTCTGAATAATTAAGCCACATTTAGTTTTTCAAGCTGAGCAATAGATTTTTTCACATTTTCACCTCAGGTATGACTCTCTGTAGTTAGAGCAACACATTAACAAAGCAAATGATGCAAAGAGAAACATGTCTTTCTCTGTTAATAACAGCATGAAGTGTTATTAATATAAGTAAACATAAAACATATAAACACAAAAAAAAATTTGGCCTAACTGAATATGGGATACAATAACAGTAAAAATGCAGCAGGTATAATTGTATTTGTATATATGACTCCAAGCGTTTCTCTTTTCTGTGATTGCTTCTGTTAGGTAGTGCTGAGAATAGCTCTCAAATATTAAATATCCAGCAGAGAACAATCTTCTGTCTGCAGCTGAGCTGTAGTTAGTTTATCCCGCAGTGCTTCATACACATTTATATAGGCTGAAATCTGGCTCATTTTAGA